ATATTTACGCATTTCTTGTAGAAAACAAGCTCAATAGAACTGCAAAGGCTTTTCTAAAGGAGGCTGGAAATGTAAGTAATTATCTATCACACATTAAATATTGTAATTGAACTTTGATGGCTGTAGGTTTTCTCGATTTGTAATTCGACAAATGAATATTTGGATTGATGTTTGTACAATCTTATTGTTGTAAATTCTATCACGAAAAAGTAAAGCTTTTTAAAATATCTTTTCAGAAATCTATCAATATGATTGCCTAAGGTTTATGGAATTGCAGAAAYTATTCAAAAACTATTTGCCTCTGTTTGGGGGTTTGGATATTAGTAACGTAGATTGCTCTTCAAAAATCACGCATCATAACAATTTGTTGCTTTGTATCTAGTTTAAATCAACCAATCAAGATGGCAGTATCATAGACTGGTATGAAGCCTGGAAGACAGCACAATTGAGGTAAGCTTGACACTGTTCATATATTTCAATTTGTTGATAGCTCTATTTTTACCATCAGCAAATACCTTGACTTAATATTATATTTATGCATCAGATAAGGGTTTTATCGACATTGTCTTATTAAAAATAGAAAACTTTCTAAGGTCATTCATTAAATTCCTGTCTGGAATGATGTTACTCCAAACTGACATGAATATTTCAATATCTGAGGGATATTTCACCCTTTTCACCTCCCAAGGATCTGCCCCTACAATTAACAGATTATAATTKTTTATTTTGGACATCTTTTTTTGTATACTTTTTCAGAGAAATGAAAACAAAGTTTGTTACGTATAAATAATTGAATAGTAACTAGTAAAATTGATTGACAGGTAATATCAATCATACAATAATTAAAACTTAGACTAAATGACAAATAACGTGATGTGTAAAATCTAAGATGAGCTTATGAGTCTGTGTTGTCATGTGTTTTAATTAAGTTCAGGTTTYAGAATTTRGGTTTTGGCTTTCTTCAATGCTGTCAATTTTCATTCACAAATTGTCCAAGTACCTATCGYGTGACATTCACATCTTCCATGTTCTGTCGATTTGTTTATGGTGGCGAGTGTAACRCGTGATGGAAGACATGGATTCAATGTCAAATATGTTCAAATCACTTACAAATYCATACACCATTYGTGGTATAGATACACTATAATATCGTGAAATTTTATTTATTATAMTGCCTATCGTGAATTGTAGTCTATCAAACAAGCTACCTATTTTAAAGYGAACTATATACTAACTTATGCAGGTTCTGAAAGGACTCATGCAAGGAATGCAAAAACAGAGTTACTAAGAAAWATCCTAAATTTGTTGTGATTGAGTTTCCTGTCTGATTTTAAAATGCTCCTTTTTGAAATTAAATATTATACATGTTTGCAATTTCTTAATACATTCAACTTASGAATAAAAACTTTAAGAAGTCAGCTTAACTTAAACTGAGCAGAACTTTTAGTAAGTGTTTTAAAAATATGGCAGCTTTAGCTAAGTAAATTAAAGTTWAACTGTAAATAAATAGAAGCAGCTTTAAAACATACTTGAAAGCTGTATCTAAAACTTTAAGTAACATTTATAACAGCTTTAAACTTCTGGCATTTAGGATGAGCGGGAGACCTTTATGGGCATTTAAAACTGCGAGCTGCAAGCGAGTAGTTTTATAGCACATAAAGGTCGGGC